CCGGGGGGGGGCGGGGTAAGAAGAGACCCTTCCTCAGGCGCCCCGGCCCGCCCCCTCACCTGCGGCCGGGCACCGGCGGCGTGCTCGGGGGTCTCCGGGCGGGCGGTGTGGCGGGGCCAGGCGGCCAGCCAGAGGCTGAGCGAGGCGAGGAGGAGCGCGGAGAAGGAGGCCAGCGCCAGAGCCAACAGCACCAGCCGGCCGGGAGCGTCCCGTGCCCGGCGGCGCCTGCCCATGGCCGGCCCGGAACCCGAGTCGCTCTGCAGCCGGCCGGAGATGGAGGAGGAGGAGGAGGAGGAGGAGACGGCAGCGGCCGGAGGGGTGGCCGGAGGGGCCGGAGGAGGAGGAGGAGGAAGCGAGGCCGCCGAAGGGAAGCCGAGCTCGGCCGGCCGCCAGCAGCAGCAACAGCAGCGCCCGGTGCCTCGAAGAGGCGCAGCCCGGGAACTGCGGGGCAGGCAAGGGAACGCCCGCCGGAGGGGCTGGGCGGAGAAAGAGCCAGGACGAGCAGCAGAGAGCCTCCCCGGACGGGAGCAATCTACCTTGGCCAAAGTTTTGGGGTCGTTTCCTGCCGCTGGCCCGGCATTCGCTAGGGGCACGGCCGATGTCCGAAGACATCCCGGCGGGGTGGAACCCCAGGTCCCATCATCCCCAGCCCGCAACAGTGTGGGGGAAACTGTGGGACGAGGTTAGAGCCAGCGAGCAGCAGAGCCTCCCCGGACGGGAGCAGTCTACCTTGGCAGGCTACTTTCCAGCCAGCCAGGCACTGCCCGTCCCCGGAGGTCGGACGCTTCCTCCTGCCCCGTCCCGCAGGCCAGGCAGTAGGGTCGGACTGCAGACCCCATCATCCCCGGCCTCTAAGTCTCCAGCTCGAGGAAACTACGGGGCCGGGGAGAGGCCAAAGCCGAACGCAGCCAGCGCCAGGGACTCCGGGTGGCGAGAGAGAAAACCCACCCGCAGAGCCTCCCTGGAGAAGCGCAGTCTACCTTCGCCCTGCCGTGCCTGTTTCCGGGGCTCTTCCAGCCCGCTTGGCTGGGCAACGCTGCCCCCCCCCACCCCCGCTGAGAGTTGGGATTTGCCCATATTTGCTCTGGGGCTTCCGGGAGGAGTTGGGACTCCAAGCCCCATCCTCCCCAGCAGCCACCCAGGTTGCTTCTCGGGGAAAACTCCAACGCTGGACTGAGATCCTCAGATTCCGGGCTTGGAGCAGCTGTACCGACTTTCCCTGCCGGCTTTTTCGGAGAACTGGGACTCCAGGTCCCATCATTCCCGGCCCGTATGGTTGGATCAGCTGTAGGCTTCAAGGCTCCGGTCCTGGGCGGAGATTCCCGGGATCGGGAGGGGGCTGGGAAGGGGGGGGTGTCTCCAAAGGGGCACCCCATTTGCCTGGCTGCATCCCGGACGGGTGGACTCCAAGCCCCATCGTTCCCAGCCGGCATGCAGGCTGCACTCCGGGAAACCCGGAGGGAACTGGGGGGGTGCTCAGCTGGGGAGAAGGGTCCTCGCCCCCTCCCCACTTGCAATCGCCTCCCCTCGCCCCCTCCCCACTTGCAATCCCCCCTCCCCATGCTTAGGGGGCCAACCTTGACCCCCTTAATTGGAGGGCTGAGCCCCGCCCATTGAACCCTCCCCCCGTCTGGAAGGAGACCCAGGCCCGGGGGGGGGGTCCCCGGCCCCCAACTTCCTTCTCCCCTTCCCTACCTGCATTTTCCTTCCTCCCCCTCCCCAACCTATCCCCGGCCTTAAAAATGTCTGTGCCTCGCTTCCCGCTGGCCCCCATCGGAGGTAGCGTGGCCGAGCGGTCTAAGGCGCTGGATTTAGGCTCCAGTCCCTCCGGGGGCGTGGGTTCGAATCCCACCGCTGCCAAGAATGGTTTTCCTTCCCCGTGGCTTTTGTTGGGCCGGACGACGCTTCTCCGGACACGGAAAATGGGGAAGGATCGTGTCGCGGTCTCCACGGGTCAATAAGTCCTCCCCCACTACCCTCGCTTTTTTTAATTAAATGGGTCGAAGCGTGCAAAGTCGCCTGTTATGTAGATCTTTGGGCTCCATGTTTTCCCAACCGGCGTTGGTGGTATAGTGGTGAGCATAGCTGCCTTCCAAGCAGTTGACCCGGGTTCGATTCCCGGCCAACGCAGTTTCCTTTTCTTTTTGGCAATTCATTTTTCTTTGCACAATATTTCTGTGCAAGGGGCGTTTTTTTTGCCCCCCCTCCCCCGCCCCAATTGGTAAGATGCTTCATTCTCCCCCGGCAGCGGAAGAGACGCCCCCAGCTGGCCTGTTGAATTCAAGCAAGCAAGCAAGAAAAACAAACATGTTTTCCGGGAAACCACGTTCAGCAAGCCATGAAAGTGGAATGAGAATGGAAATAATTCTAATTATTTCTTGGCTGCAGAGCCAGCTATGCAGGGCGTGCAAGAGGTTCGGGCGAAAGTGTGCAGCCTTCTTTGGAAAAAGGATATATATATATATATATATGTTTCTGTAGGACCTCACGGTCGTGGTGCAGGATTTTGCTGAAGAGGGAAATGGGAAGGTCCCCACTATGGAAAGGTGCAAAAAAATAATAATTAATCATCATCATCTCCCTTTAATGACCCTGTAATCATTGCTGGGTGCAGTCTGGGCAACTGAATGGAGCTAGCAGTGTGTTTTTACTGGCCGGATGCCCTTCCTATCACAAGTGTGGAGTTTTGTTGTTCGGCAGATATATTCTCACTTGTGCCCAGAGAGAGAAATATCTATCTTCCTCACATTAGTCATTTTAATGACCGTTCAAAATTACAACGGCGCCGTTACAGTGAGACTGAGGATCCTTTTTCACACTTATGTGACCGTTATAGGAATGAATGAATTCTTTATTGGATGTGTGATTAGACACACAAGGAATTTCTTGTAGCATCTACATCTGTCACACGATCAAAATTTGGGCACTTGGCAATGGGTTCATAATTATGACAGTCACAGTGACCTTCTGATAAGTCAGGGAGGAAGCCAAGATTCACTTAACAACTCCTGTCGCTAGCTGAACCAAAGTGCAGTTGGTTTGCTTACCACGGTGGCATGAGAGGTCATAAAACAAGGCAAAAGTGAACAAATTCGCTTCGATAAAAGTCTTGCTTAGTAACAGAAATGTTGGACTCAATTGTGGTCATAAGTCGAGGACTACCTGGACCTTGGGGTGGGGTGGGGTGAACTGATCCTGCCTCTGGAAGTTTGATCTAAGCCCTTGCAAAAGTTGCTTCTCTGTTATGGTAAACAAACCATTTGGTTCGCATTGCAGACCCAAAAATCTCCTGTACCAGTTTCCAACAACTTGAAGATGGGTGGACTTCAACTCCCAGAATCCCCCAGCGAGCATGCTGGGGGAAGGGGCGGGGTTAGCGTGGGACTTCCTCTTTCTTTGCCTGTTGGGGCACAGAGAACCTTAAAAATACAGGAAGTCCTTAAACGTACCGTTATTCGCTCAGCAACAGTTCAGTTACAGTGACACTGGAAAATGTGACTTAGGACAGGTCCTCGCACTTATGACCGTCGTAGCTTTCCTGTGGTTGAATTTGGGTGCCTAGCAACCAAAAGTTATGGATGATGCTTGCAGTGTCCTAGGATTACATGGTCACTATTTGCAACCCAGCCGGTTCTCGATGAGCAGTCAACGGAGAAGGTGGCCATTGCATGATGCCTCGCTTAACGACTGTGGCAAAACAGGTTGTAAAATCAGGCCATGTAATGCCTCACTTTAATGACCGCCCTACTTAATAAATTTTCCAATACTGTTGTTCGAGGCAACCTGATTTGCACCCAGGACAGCCAGATGACTTAGCTAGACCAGTGGGCTTACAGCCTTAATGTTACGACGCTGGGAATGACCCGAGGAAGTGAAACTGACTGCAAAGGGTGCAAAAATAAAGAAAACTGAACAGAAAGGGAAATGAAAACGGCACCGACCGCAACTTTTAAGATGCGGTAGGACTTGACTTTTCAACTCACAGAATTCCTGAACTGGCCGTGAGTCATAAAATGGCCACCATTTCCCAGGCTGGCTCAAGGAATTGTGGGAGTTGAAGTCCAGGAGCCATAAAAGGACCACCGTTTCCCACCTGCTTTAAGGTGTCTGGACTTCAATTCCCAGAATTCCCTAGCCAGTTTCCACCAATTTCCTGACTACAAGTAGGGACACTGTGCCCCCCCCCCCGGTTGTAACACAAGGCCCCCCCTGGGGAATTCTTGTCCCCCTCCCCCAACTCTTGCAATCCCGAGACCCCCAGACATCGCGAAAGCTTGCGATGAGTTTGCAGGTGGTCCACCAGTTCTGACTGTATTGGAGCCAGCCCATTACGGTTGTAAAACAGGCCAATCATACGACCAACCTGGTTCCCACCCCCGCCATCCTTTTGAGGTGGTTAACCAAATGCCGTGGTCATTAAGTGAACCAGCGGTTCACTGTGGATGCAGTTTTGCTGGAAAATGGGAGTTTTGCTACTTTTAGGCAAAATGGATGTAAAATGTGGTCAGCAAGACACTGCAAACAGTAAATGCGACCCTTGCCTGAAGGTGAAGGGTGTGTGTGTGTGTGTCACATGACCACACCAAAAAAAGTCAGAACTTCAGGTCTGGGTCGTTAAGCCCCCTTCTTTGAAGTCGGTCGTAATTGCAAACGGACGGTAAGCAAGCTGTCTCTTGCGTTCTGAAAGCGAAGCAGCCCAACCCTCCCTACCCCCCCGCCATTTGCACAATTTCAAACTTCGCAAAGTCAACCGTTCGTTTAAAACTTTTTATTTATTTTTTCTTTTTTTTTGTGCAGAAAGTTACCAATTTTGCAGAGGGGGGGAAAGAAACAAAACAAAAAAACAAAAAGCCAAAGCGAGAATCTTAAAAAACGCTTAACTAAAACTAAAAACGTCGCCCTGACGGCGTTGCTTCGCTTCTTTCGTCCCTCCGTTGCTGGGGGGAGGTGAGACTATTGTCCTAGGGCTGCAACGAAGCCTCTCAAGCCCCCCCCCCCCCCCCCCCTCCCACCGCCCCCCCCCCCCCCCCCCCCCCCCCCCCAGTGGGAAAGAAGCAGAACCAGGAAGAATAAAAATCTGGATTTCTTTTCTTTCTTTCTTTTTTTTTTAAACATGCTATGCAGGACTCAAAAACGAAAACTCAGCTAAACCCAGGCTTACTCCTCCCCGCCCCTTCCCCCAAAAAGGTCCGAGTTAAAAATAAGGTCAGCCGTGAAAGTTTCGGGGTGCTCGGACACCCCTACCCCCAATCCCAGTCAAGAAACCTCCTCGTTTTTCCAACATAAATAAAATCATC